CAGCAATTCCTCCCGGACGGGGGTTTGATTGCTGAAAAGCCGGACATGTCCGGGAAAAAAGAGGATGTATGGTAACCCTAGGCTAGATGGACCATTGGTCTGAGCCAGTATGGCTGTTCTTATGTTCTCTAAGCCCAAAGGTGATTACTTGTAAAGGGTTGACTGAAATCTGTTGATTTTGCATTATGTTAGCATAAAAATTAAATCTTTTCAATGTAAAAAAAAATCATAATTCTTATGCTGGACTTAAAAACAGCTGAACTTTTAAATTCAACCCTTACATGTGGCTTGAATAAGGAATAGTCACCTTGCTTAGTATGAAAGCAGTGGGACTTGCTGTGGCTGTTCAGTTCAAAATATTTCTCCTCTAAAGGAATGCATCAGACATGTCACAACACAGTCAGCCCGCAGCACAACTGGGCATTGCGCAGCACCCCCAGCAGTCGGGGTGGAGAAAATGTCTCAGTGAACCTCCTGATGCATTAGTCCTCTTAAAGTGCACATAGGCAAAGCAGTGTTTTCGTAATTAAAACATTCAAACAGGGTTTGGTTTAGTTCTGTATCTAATATATTTACAGTGCGAAGTGCCGTGGAATTGCCTTAGGTTATTTTTTATCCTTTTTGTTAAAGAAAAATATGGATCTCCTGCTGTGTAGAGCTATTTTGTTCTCCATTTAAATCTTCCTTTCCATTGCCCCTTCCATCTGAGTATATAAAAGGGCTTTAAAGCCCCCAGAGCTATTGGTTTACTCCGGTCAATGGGAAGTTTGTGGTAAAGCCAAGAAACAAAACCTAAATCTTATCTGTCCTGTGCTTTAACCACAACATTGTCTTCCTCCCTTGGTGGCTTGTGGGATTTGAACTAATAACATCTCTCAGGGCTTGTCTTCACTGCCGGGATAAGTCGACCTAAGTTACGCTACTCCAGCTACATGAATAACGTAGCTGGAGTCGACGTAACTTAAGTTGACTTACCCCAGTGTCTTCACTGCACTGCATCAATGAGAGCCGCTCTCCAGTTGACTCCCCTTACCCTTCTCAGAGACGTGGAGTACCAGGATCCACCGGAGAGCGCTCTGCAGTCAATTTAGTGGGTCTTCAGTAGACCCACTAAATCGACACCAGCTGCATCAATTTCCCCCGTAGAGAAGACAAGCCCTCACTCTCAACACACAAACTAGTGAGCTAGCTATTCATGATAAACTTGAAAGGGGCAGCTTGGGAGGAGAGAGATTCCTTTTGTTTCATTGGCTTGTGGCGCTGGTCAGTCACAGAAATTAGCAGAGATGCCAGCAAAATGGAGAGTTGATTGTTGACAGGTTCCCCATCCAATGTTCTTGCACTGACATGATTCCAGGCAGGCAGTTTTTTCCTGAAATGTGATTAAAATACGATGGTTTGTTCTGCATTTCCAGGAGATGGCAAAGAAGGTTAAAATATGGTGCTGAGTAGCAGATATACTCTTAATTTCTCTTTCCAGGTCAATGACTTGTCCTTGGAGCAGCTGAACCTTGAAGAAGAAGAAGAATTTCTGTCTGATTTCTGTTTTGATGAAGGGCACCTGCTGGAGGGAAGACAATCTAATTAGTGTGGCTTAAAGTATTCTGGGAGTTTTACAGTATTTCAAATCGTTGCTCAGGAATGAAAGCATAAGGCTGTGACATTGCACATGCTAAATGTTTTAGATGCTTTATTTCTTTCTGATTATACAGTGGTGGAAATAAATGGTTCATCTATTGTTACTAAAATAAAGACAGACAAACGTAGCTAAGGATCCCCTGGTTCATCCCTTCCTTCATGGGCCCTGAGAACACCAGGATTGTTTGTGTTGCCTTCAGCATGGGCATAACAGCTGCAGCTCTGCATTAAGATAGATTATAATCAAATTTCATGCTGCAGGGTTTCAGCAGGTCAACCTGCGGGGGTCAGGAAGATATTTTTTCCCTCAGTGCACAGTTGGCCAGGTGTAGTCTCTGAGAGAGCAGGTGGATGCCCTGCCACAGGAAACCTTAAGTAGCTGCAGAATTTACACACACAGACACCTGTATGCTCACCTAAGAAACATTTCTTTAACTATCATGTAATCTACCAAGCCAGTCAGTTGCAAGATAAAAGCGATTTTCCTATGGGCCCTTTCCTTTTTTGGATTAACCTGCCATAGTGCCAAACAAAGGCCCTTTTTCACTTAGAAAGTGCAAGTTTTGCATTACATTGACATTAAACTGCAGCATGAGGCTTCCTGTATTAAACAAGTGAGCTTCAGAGATGCAGGTTATTTGGTGTTATAACAGATTCCCCAAATCATAGAAGTGTAAGACTGGAAGGGACCTCAAGAGGTCATCTAGTCCAGTCCCCTGCACTCATGGCAGGACTAGGTATTAGCTAGACCATCCCTGACAGGTGTTTGTCTAACGTGCTCCTAACCTGCTCTTAAAAATCTCCAATGATGGAGATTCCACAACCTCCCTAGGCAATTTATTCCAGTGCTTAACCACCCTGACAGGAAATTTTTCCTAATGTCCAACCTAAACCTCCCTTGCTGCAATTTAAGCCCATTGCTTCTTGTCCTATCCTCAAAAGTTAAGGACAATTTTTCACCCTCCTCCTTGTTACAACTTTTTAGGTACTTGAAAACTCATCATATCCCCTCCTCTCAGTCTTCTCTTCTCCAGACTAGACAAACCTATTTTTTTCAATCTTTCCTCATAGGTCATGTTTTCTAGACCTTTAATCATTCTTGTTGCTCTCTGCAAGATTTTCTCCAGTGTGTCCACATATTTCCTGAAATTGTTGAGGCCTTATCAGTGCAGAGTAGAGCAGAAGAATTACTTCTCATGTCTTGCTTACAACATTCCTGCTGATACGTCCTAGAGTGATGTTTGCTTTTTATGCAACAGTGGTACACTTGACTCAGTTAGCTTGTGATCCACTATGACTTCCAAATCCCTTTCTGCACAGCACTGCTTCCTAGGCAGTCATTGCCCATTTTGTATGTGTGCAGCTGATTGTTCCTTCCTAAGTGGAGCACTTTGCATTTGTCTGTATTGAATTGCATCCTATTGACTTTAGGCCATTTCTCCAGTTTGTCCAGATCATTTTGAATTTTAATCCTGTCCTCCAAAGCACTTGTGTCATAACTATAAAGGGAAAGGTAACAGCCCTCCTGTGTACAATACTATAAAATCCCTCCTGGCCAGAGACTCCAAAATCCTTTTACCTGTAAAGGGTTAAGAAGCTCAGGTAACCTGACTGACACCTGACCCAAAGGACCAATAAGGGGACAAGATACTTTCAAATCTTGGTGGGGGGAAGACTTTTGT